AAATCGCAATTATAGGATAATTTTAATATATATATATATTTGATGTAATAATTCCTCATAACTTGTAAAAGCAGTTATTTTAGAATTGAAATTTGTGATAAAAAATTTGAAGTGTCCTCTTCAACCTTCGTACTTCATCTTGGTTTCTTGGTCGAAAGAGGTACCTCTTTGAATATATTACTTATCCACTTAATTTTTCCACACTTTACACTTTATTTATAATTGGCTATGATTGTGATGTGTAATCATTGCATACGTAGATCAAGATTGGATGTTTCCAAAATATTATATTCTCAAATAATAATTTAAGATATTTTATTTATGTTATTTTATTTAATTTGTGGTAGAAAAATATCAAGATATCTTCTTGTGGTGGAATAATATTTCAGTTTATATTTTCAAAAGTTATTTTTTATTTATATTTCTTTTCGTAACTTTTTACTTACACACTTTTTAAGACAATCCATGTTTAAAACTTTTAATATTCTAATTCAAAATTTATTATTTTTTATTATTATTTGAAGTAATCAAATATTTGATAAATAAATAATATGAGAATAATTTATTTCTAAAATAAGATTTTGCAAATACCTTTATTTCGAATAAATTTATTTTTTCCTTTATCGTTTAAGAAAATACAATTAATATTCATAATTTTATTATTTGTCATTCCTTGGATAATATTAACTTTCAGTTCAAAATTTGAACAAATTTGGGGAACCATTTTACATTTATTCACAACATTTATTCGAAGTATAAAAAATATTTTTCTTAGAATAATTGCGACGATTCGAATTCCTCGAAGCAATAAAATAAATAAAAACAAAATAATAAATTACGTTAAGGTAAACTGCAATAAAGTATTTATTAAGGTTAAGGTTAAGAACTACGTAAAAGATAATTTTGGTAAAATTATTTTTAGATCAAGTTTTTTCGTTTAAAACGTTGTACAAATATCAAATCACATTTTGCGTACTTTCTTTAAATCCTTCCTAAAGGCAAATTATCTTACTCAGTTCAACTGTTGCAACTGCTTAAAAATTACATTGATTTTTTTTATTATAATTCTTAATACAATATTTTCTGAACATAGAATATTATAGATTCATATATAATCAGAGATTTATAATCATTTTATAAATCATTTAAAATTAATGAAAACTGGACAAAAAACCCAACCCCGTTGGTAGTTTTCCTAACTCAATTCAATATTTGAAATAATTACAGTATATGAATTTATTGTTCATGAGGCCCAACAATTCTTAGAACTGCATCAAAGTGATTCAATTAATATTATACTGGAAAAATAAAAAATAATTTTTGTCTATTTTCTATAATATTATTAATGCTATGCTAAATCATAGTTTGAAATTCGTATTAAAAAATTTGCATTAATTTCAATTGTTAAAAAATGATCTCTTCACTGTTATTGTATTCTATCTCTGTCTCACTTTTATCCTTGATGAAGACACGGTAGAGTGAGTTGGAGTCAGATAACATCGGCTAATTCTCAGAAATTTACCTTTCCGGATATATACCCAAGCACAATCCCAAGCGATGACTGTATTTATTTCTTTTTATTCATTATATTTATTCCAAATAAAATGTGCCCGATTCTGAATTATCATACGTACAGTTAGTAATAAAAGTTATCATTATATATTATCTTGGAGATAAATTCATTAATTTCTGATTTTAATGAAAATTTATATGTGTTTATGTGGAGCATAATAATGGAGGGTTATACATAACAGTACTTTATTTTTCGATAAAAAAAAATCTCTTTCAATAATTTCAGTGAAATTAACCGTCAAATTTTTATCATGTTTTTTTATACATATACAAATTCGTTTGAAAATATTTTTTTTTTAATAATAACAAAATACTGAAATTTGAATTTATTTTTTAATTTAAAATTTCGTTTTATCTCGTAGTTATGTTTATCTATAACAAGTTGTCAAAAGTTGAAAGTATATAAAGAAAACTTATAAATAAAATAAAATAAAAAAGAAATATGAATTATTATAAATATTTATTACATATATAATATTTATTCGTATTCTTCAATACGAATAATTTACATTTATTATACGATATTTCTGATAAAGAAATATTTAAATATAATTCAATTTTTCAAATTAAAAACAGAATATTTATAAATAAGAAATAAAATTACTATAAATTTATAATATTAATATCAATTGATTCCTTGATCTATGTAAAAAATTTAATACACAATATTATAAAGACAAAACTTAATTTGAACCAGTTGTTGTGAATAATATATAAATTAATCGATACAAATATTTTTAACCGAAAAAAAGAGCGGATTGTGATGTATAAAAAAAAATAATGATAATGATAATAAATAATACGGAACAAAATGTAAACAAGGAAAAAAGAGTGAACAAAAAGATCAAGACAAAAAAAGACCGTCCTCTTTAAAAGAGATACTCTAGTAAATTTAATTAAAACAAAAAGAAAAGAGAATTAAAAACTTATAAAGTGATATTGCACCGATAAAAAAATTGCTCTATAGACGTGTAATCAATCCATTATGATCACATAACGTTCCTTAATAAAACAAATTTATCACTACACAACTTATTAAGAGTGGAAGAGATAGATATGGAGATTTTTACGATCGAATAATTGGAAATACGGAATATTTATCAACATGCCAAATTTCGTTGGAATTGAAGAACAATTCTTGATCCAGTCCTTTCAAGCAAACCCAGTTAAGCGCACACGGCCGGTTTTCTAATTCACTGTTTCTCGCGCCACGCTCTTCTTCTCCTTTCGTCCGTGTCGGCCCTCTCTCCTTCTCTCTCGCGCGCACGGCACTTCCTACACCGTTTCTCCGTTCAGGGTGTTGGGCAAACACAATACGTTTTCGCAATGCACGCGCGATATTACGATGCCCGTTGCATCCACGTCATTGTTCGCGTTCGCGATGCGTAACGTGGCATGAGTGGTCCGTGGTTTCGTTTCCACGTTCGTTTCGCGTTCTGACACGCGATCGCCACTTGCTTCTTCGACACGAACTTTACCCTTTTATCTAAACGATCCGATCTTTATCGTAGAATCGATATTTAGGGAATATTGGCGATTATTTTTTTTTATCGTTGAAGAAATACAAATTGAATTATTTTGAGTAAGGTTAAACATTTCTTATTTGAAACATAAAAAGAGATAAATTTATTTGATTTGTTTGCAAATATATTGTTTTAAAATATTGTTTGAGAAATAAATAATATAATGTTTAACGAAATAGTAATAATAAATAAACGAGATTTTTGTACATAAAAAGTACATTTAAATTACATTTAAAATCAAAAAGTGTATATCAAATAAAAGTTAAGAAATGGAAAATGGAATAAATATAGTTCTAATTAATCGGATTATAATTAGAGGTATCCGTTTCAAAGAAACATTTTTTTAGATTCTTTTTAAATGAAATCATATAAAAAATAATTAAAATAATTTATCTTTCAAATTATTCAAATATGATAACAATATGATTATTCATATATTTGAGAGAAAGTAAGAAATAAAAATAAAATTAAAATTATTTTTAAATTTATTTAGTTATTATTTAATTACTTATGATAATTACATGAAATATATATTTCCAATAATTTTAAATAATATGTCAAATGTTATTTTATAAATGCCTTAAGTTCTAGAGATACAAATTATATTCTATCAGACTTTGATTTGTATTATATCATACTTACTTGCATTTTTTCTTTACATAACACGATGTCACAATTTCTGCTTAAGATTATTTCCAAATTTGAAATAAAGGAATCAAGAAATAACTTCATTATTTGAAATTTATATTTATATTTCAAATGAAAGTATTATTTGTATTTTCTAATACAAATCAATTTTAAAAGTTGAACACTCTGAAATAAAGTATTTTAAATTACTTTTCAAAAAATTATTTTAATTATTACAAACTTTGAGATTAGTTAGTAATGCTTTAAAATAAAAAATACTTTGATTAGTAATGACAATTTTAATAAATTTCTACTAAAATTAAAATTAAATATACAAATATAATTTTGTTAATTAATTATAATATATATATATCATAATCAGGTAATAAATTACTACAACTAAGATAAAAAACAATAATGAAGATTAAAAATTAATAGCATTAGTTTTAAGTAGAAATATTAATAAGAATAGTAGGACCAAAAGTTATTTTTCAGTTCATAGTTTTCTATCTATAATAAAGAAATACTATTTCTATTTAATTAATAATTTTTGTATATATTATAAATAAATTTAATATTTATAAATTTTTAATATTAGTTTTTATTTTACTTATATATTTTACATACTTTTATATTTTGATTTTACTTGTTTTCCGCAAATAACATCTTTTAAATTAATAAATAAATTAATAAATATAATAAATGAAATAATTTCTGTAATAATGATAGGATTGTCTAACTTTGAAGCTAATTTTATATTTTTAATTTTTATATTTGAAAAATTACATTATTTTAAAAATGTAATTATCAGAGATGTCTAATTTTTGCAGTTGACAATATGGAACATTGCCAAAATTGCAATTTCACGAAAAGTCAATTTCTGCCAAAAAGCAGAACTCTGAGAATTCTTTTTCTTGCATCAAACCCTTTCAATTATCGATATAAATTAATAAAGAAAATTATAAAATTCATTTAATCGCTTCATTTAACAAAGATTAAATAATTAAGAAATTGAAGCGAAGCTAAAAACGAAATATAAAATATACATTGTCACCTTTTGGCACGTAGCCGAAAGGTGTGGATTTTCCAACGACGTAACACCATCATTTTTAGTGTCGAAATACTACCCTTTAATAATATTTTCCCCATCTTCTTCACTCCTCATTTTCTTATTTACTGCTTCCATTTATATATATCTTGTTTAAATCACTTGATGAATTAAGAAATTAACTACCACACGAAATGAAAAAATGAAAAAAATATGAACTAGAACGATGCACTTACTTACATATATACGACTGTTATTTCGTCTACTATCGATCGATTCATGCTGTCAAAGTAACGCGACGCGTTCGATTAAAAGGAAGCCGAGATAACAACACTCGACAAGAGTTCCGCGATCGAAACGCAAGCATTTTAGTTAGATACGCTTGCCTTTTCCGAGCCGACGCAACGCGACGACTCGTATTCGATTTACCGAATTATCGATCCATCTTTGTCGAGTAACAATCGAAATCTTTCATAAACGGAACGGAAATTCAGTTAGGTTTGAACGCTAGGTATAATTTAGAACAACTGATACTCTGCTTTCTTTTTCTTTTTACCGCTTGGTAGTTTACATGGCTTCGTAAAGCCGTGTAACCGGGTTCTTAGAAATTGTTTCCTCTTCCTCGAGAACTTATACTATCGATACTATCTATCCCATCTCTTAAATCTTTTCCACTCGTGATAAAATAGATTCGCTACTTTGAAACTCGATTGATAATCGAATAATCGTGAAATTAGAACCGATTGAGCGAAGCTTTCTCGTGCGCGAATCACTGTAAATGTGTATATAGAGACGAGCAATGAAACAGTGGAGTGTGGAGGGAGAAAGACGAGAGTGAGAGAGAGAGAGAGAAAGGACACAAAAAGAGAAAGAGAGGGGGATAGAGAGAGAAGTACGAAAAAGGTTTACTTGTAGAGCATAGGATCGGGTCGAAGAACACGGGGGTGGGCAGCCAGCTGATTCGGGCGAGTTCGTGAACGACCGTAATCGAAGCGCGAGGAAACGAGAGGCGAGGTAGCGCAGCAGCGCACGTCCGATGCAGTCTGCCGCGACCACCGGGAAACCAGCTGACTGGTCGGTTCGGTCACGTTCGCTAGGTCGTTCGGCAGTCTTCGGATCTTTGTTCGTCTCTGTGCACGAGGCTACCGGCAAGCGACAAACCTTTCCGTCAGTCGCCGTTTCGACACTGTTGAAGAATTGTACGTACGCGCAAGTTTCTTACTTCTTCGACAAAAATCGACGTTATTACGTATACGTGGTTCGAATTGCATGATTAATCATCTCATCGTTGAATCAATCAACCGATCCGACTGATTACTCGTTAAGTCAAAGGAACAAGTAAGAAGGAAAGGACGCGATTAGCGTCGTCGCGCTGTCTGCTTGTTACCGGTAGTTCGCTTCCATCTCTGTGCACCCCGCTATCGCTTATTCCTCCCCATCTTACACTCACTAGATGATACTCCCTTTTTTCTCGTTTATTCTCTGTCTCTATTTTTCTCTTTTTTTCTCCATTTCTTCGTATAAAAGCGGCCTCTATCTGTCCAACTCATTTTTTGCTTCTCGCTTTTTTTTTACAACTTCTCCTCGCTCGCGTCACTTTCACGTAGTTCAGAAAAGACGCGAAAAAAATCGAATCGTCGATTACGAGGATACGAATTTGAATTGTGGAATGAAAACAATCCATTATGTGTTTTTATTTTTGCTCATTCTCGGCCGGGACGACGCAATGTTGTATTTGAAGTGAGAAATGATCGTGTTTTAAGCAAAGGAAAGCAAGGAAAGAGACAAAATAGGAAGATAAAAGAAGAAAGGGAAAGGAAGGAAAGAAGAGAAAAGTATATAGATTGCAAGTGTAGAGCGCTATGAAATCCGATCTGTACGATAGGTCGGTATTTCCGAGCGGAAAGAACATGGTGGTATCGCGAAACGGATAGCTATTTCTCACGATATAAACATATTGACAATTTATCGTTAAGATCTTTGATTTCAATTGGTTAGATCGGAAATTAAGCTTTTTGAATTCATAGGACAATTCCATGTTAAAGTCGAATCGTTATGAATCGAAATTCGTTGGGTGGTAAGTGGAAATGCTACGTGACCGGTCGGTGGTGTACGAAACTAAATCTTCGAAAACTTTCGGTCGTGCAACCGGTTTCTCTTCGTATTGAAAAATATTCTTTTTTACACGGGTTATTTTTTTTTTTTGTTGAAATTTAAGATACGTATATGTATACGTGTATGCATTTACCGGTTATTTAGCGATAGTGCACGACCTTACTTCATCGGAATAATCGTCTATCGTTCGTGTCAATCCAGTAGCGGTCGGAATAAAAGACCGATATCGCACAAGACTGTCACGACGTGTTGATTCGAAATGACGCGATTTGATCGAGAATCCCGATCGAGAAAAATAAAAATTCGTTCATTAGCATCATTGGTTTATATAATTCAAAATGATGCGATTTGATCGAGAATTTCGAATTCTTAAAAATAAACATAGGAAAATAAGAATTCATTAGGTTAATTTAATTCGTACGATACGTCGAATTAGATAGGATCGAATAGTCGATCCGATAGATTTAAAGGATAATTGAATAATTGTCATGATTTCATCAGAAATCAAAAATTCCTCGAGCTTTCAGACATTTCATTTATCTCACTGAAAAGGAATAGTTTTATGTAATTAATGTGAAATTTGCGTGTAATAATTTTGCGCAAATCGATATAACAATGGATTAAATCGAAGAGAAAATCAATATTAAAATCATTGTCAGAGCCGGTGCCAGAATTCGACCGGAATATTGATCGGTTTACAATACGCGACACAAAAAGCTGATTCGCATGCAAAAGATTCGCAAGTAGTCGAGATGAAAGATTGGATGACCAATGATTATTGATACACGTACTTGATAAATTTACGATAGTGCCAGACAACGCGATGGTGATATACTATTCGGTCGTTACGATTTATTTTATAGACATGATTGCTTTACTTATTTTATCTTTCCATCTATGCGTCTGTCTATCTATTTTCTCTTTCTCTAGTTCGGCTTCTCCGTCGACGATCATCAATTTCGACATCGATATTGGCACCGGCGTCGGCATCGTATCTCCATCCTCGTCTCATCGTCGTCGTTGCTGCCGCTGCTACTGCTGTCGCTGCCATCGTTGATGGGATTTGGAAAGCCATTCTTCCAAATTCTTTTAGCCTATCGAAACATTAATTTTTCGAATTACGGTGAGTAGGGTGGTATTGCATCCACGATACCTAGTCGAAAATAAATTGTCTCCTTGATCTTTCCTTCACCGATAAAATTAGTCATAGTTTCTTTTGCAACCATTTGCTTTGCGATGGAACTAGATTGAACGTTTACTTTTGGATATTTCCTCTCGCTCCTCATATCTCCCTGATAAGTCGTTCTCGCGATATTGAAAATTTCTTCCATTATGCTGCGTCGTCGAACCTTCTCGATTCGAATAAGTTTTAATCTTTTTATCAATTGATGTCATTTCCAGTGAAATGAATGCAAACAGGGAGGAGGACAAGTGATGATTTGAGATAAATTTTTATAAAAACTTTTGAAAACCTTGAAAAAAAATGGAAAATCATTTTCAATTTGAATGTCATCCCGGACAGCTCGTCGAACGAGCCGGCTTCTTAATCTCTTTCCAACGTTTGGTAGGTCTCATCCGCCCACTCACGGTTTCTTTCTTTCGTCCCGTGTTTCGCTACTTCGTACCTTGTTTCTCCTTTCACGGACTTCTACCGTTATACGTTCTCGTATTATTATCGTAATCATAATACGATGTGGCCCACTTGATTCATAGTCGTTTATTTCTTTATTATTCGTAGAACTCTCTCTTTTCTTTTTCCCCTGAGATTCGCTTATTCGTCGACACGCCGTTCACGCATCCAGTTATCGTTCGCAATCTGACTATTCAAATACTGTACAACATAAAATATACATATGTACGTTTCAATTGGATCTATCCATAGCTTTTAAGCGATAGAATAATTCATGGAGCAAAATCAAATAATTTCGAATATATCGCCTATATATATTTGATTTGAAAATAAAAAACAAAATTTATAAATGCTAAAATTTTCTTAAAATTTTTAAAAAAATCATCTTTTAAACTAATCAATTTTTAATGCAAAAATATTAATAAATCATTATCGGGAAATGCTTCCATTTCCAGATAGAAACCATTTATAATTTTTTATTTTTACTTCATTTCATAATAAGAGTAATGATTAAGCTCAATTTGCATAAATCATCCTCATTATATTTCGATGTTGTTTGACGAATCCCAATTATTTCTAATATTCTAACAATTCTGCGATCTACTACGAGAATACAAAAATTATTTGGCACGTAACGCGAATCTTCTCGCTTGTCATTCTTCCCTAATCAAGGATGCGTGCACTTCTGGTGTTACCCGTAAACCGGTTCCGCTTCAATTCCGATTACATCTTTGTTTCGATGCCTTTCAATTGCTATCGGTTTTCGCATTCACGAAACACTTTTAATTTCATCGTTTCGAAGATTTATGAATTCATCATCTCCGCTCCACTTATAACTACAAACAAACGCATTGTCAAATTGGCTAATCCTCTTCGTATCAGTTTTCGCTCTTTCTCTCGTATCCTATCCTTTTTCTTTCTTCTTTTCATAGTATCGCATGTACGGATCGGAAAAATGAATAGAGCAACGTTCGATAAATGAAAGCAGAGAGGCAAATTGATTCAAATAGAAAACGAGAAACTTAATTATCGATTTGTCCACGAGTCTGTCTCAGGCGACAGATGATTTAAATTGGATAATCGAAATAATTTTCAGAAAAGGAAGCAAGCGTTTCTGTTCGCCCACTTGTCGGATTACGCGGTGTATAAGATCACAAACGCCAGGAAGAGATACGGAGCACCCTTCCCGTGGGGCATCTGCCTGAGGCCGACCAGCACCGGCCAACTCAAAACCATCGAGTCTGGAGAAGCCGGACTCAAGGTCATCGCTTTCCACAGTGAAAAGTCTCGCGCCTGTTGGCTCACGGCCATGAGACTCGCCAAGGTAATCAAACATTCGATTCTTTCGCAACATTGTTTCTC